TGAGGAAATTATGAAAGAGTAACAGAAGTAGTCATCTGAGAAAATATTATTGAGAGAAGAATGTCAATAAAAGCCTGTTTTGAGAAAATGTCATTGCTTAAACAGCCAGCTCTGAGAAAGCTTTCAGAGAGCAATAATAGTCTTCTAGTAAAGTGATAGAACAGAAAAGGCAATTATACCTCAGCTATTATGCCAAATCGTCCTATTAGCAGCTCTATCCGGCCTCTCAGGACCCTGTGCTGGACTATGTCAAGCACAGTTCAGAGAGTTCGGAGCATAAAGGAATCTTCATTGCTTCCCCACAAATAAGCTCACAGAGGCATAGGGCATGGAATTTAATCAGGCCAACTCAGCTGGTGAGACTCTCAGAAAGATGACCTAAAATACATCATATAATTGCCAGTAAGTGAGATGAAAATGAAGCTTGCACAATGAGTACATAAATATATATACATATAATTTATTTATTTAAAAGAAATCGCTCTATTTATTGAATTTCTGGCACTGTCCTAGGTCTATTTTGGCAATACTTCATTTATCTTTGTTGTAATGGTAAAAAGAATTTTCCTCCATTGTTAGCCATAAAACGATTGAGACTCTGAGAGATGGTAAGTCCTAGAGTTACTCACAGGTCTGTTTGACTAATGATCTTTCCATCTCCCATAAAAAAATGAAAGATTCTGGCTGGAAGCAATTATACAACATTGAAAGGAAAAGAGACCACATGGTATAAATCTCCTGTGTAGGGTCTTGAAAGCTTATTATTGATCACAGATTCAATTTTTTTTTCCTTTAGTAGTTCAGGTGATTTTCCAAAACTCTAATCTACAAATTAGTATATTATTGTAATATAAATGTAAAAGCCTCTGAATTTATTATTCACCAAATAGAAAGTCCATTTGAATTCTCAATAATGAGTAATTTTTAAGTGAATGACTATGAACTTAGTGTAGACAAAATTCTGATTTTATTTTTAACTGGAACACTCATGGTTTTCTATTCTGGACTCGTGAATATAAAAGGTTCTTTTTAATTTTCTGTGGTATGTGTGTTTAGGAGAGTAAAGAGAGAAGTTGGGTTTATTCCTTGTAAGGACCTCTGGGGAGACATCATAATAAAGCATGGGTATATTAACTTGGTGTACTATTTGAAGAATGCCTGCCTTTAAAAACATTGTAATGATTTATGAATAATGCCAAATTTGACACTCTGTGTTAGAATCCTATTACCAGCCTCGTGAAGCTATTTAAATATTCTAGACCTCTGTTTTCCTTTCTGTAAAATGAGAACTAGAACTCAATCTACATAAAAAGGGCTGGGGTGATTTAAAAATATTTGTTTTAAATATGATTAAATACATTTAATAATTATATTAAGTATATTAGTGTCATATTTAGTAAAAATCAATTCTATATAAAACTTATGTTTTACTAAATACTTAAAAAAATTTATCCTGGAATATCATAAAAAAATTACCTATAGTAGAACAGAAAGCTGTATTAGTTTATTTTTTGAAGACAGCTTAAAAACCATCTAGTAGACATAATTTAATATTTTAAGTTCACCAGCTCATGAAGCTAACCAGGACATCTATTTTGGAGTATTTTAAAGATATACCAGATTATCCTCAAATTCCAGTATATATTTCTAAACCATCTAGATTATGTGAAGCAAACAGTTGAATGTTACAGAAATAATTAGTTTTTAATGAGGAATTGAAGAAATGCATTTAAATGAACTAATAACGACTACATTTTTGCATGTAAAAAATGCACAAAAACCATGACAACCTGCTTGGACCTGATACATTTGACTCCTTTTACTCAAAATGCATTTGAGGGTGTCAGTCTTCCAAAAGGCTTACACTACAATATTTCTTCCATGGGATTTTGAGTATAACTGAATGTGCATGACCACACCTGTTCCTTTCATAATATCACTGAAAAGAAGAATCAATGCTGACTAGATTGACCTAATTAATGCTACTTTAAGATACTCGGTAGAAAAATAATAAAACATTTTGACAGTTTTAATTTTTTTTATTTTTATAAAGCATCAACACTTTTATAGGTAGGAGAGCTGATTAATAACAGAAGTATTTGATCTTAAGGAGAACTCATTGATATCCATTTAATTTCCCCCATATCCACTGACGACTTCTTTGAGTGATCCTGTTATTCAATGGTAAAGGCACTTTTTGAATGCTATCAGAATCAATTACAGTTTGTCCACATTGGTAGACCAATGAGGCAGAGAATTAACCTCCAACTAATTTCCAAAGTCATTTACTAGCTGATGGCTTTGTACATTTAGGGCCAAAGGCAGCAGGCACTTTGGAACATTTGCAAAATGCCTACTGTAGGGTGCAGGGAATTGGGGTCATGGTAGACCCATGAGCTATGCTTGTTTATTTATTTTATGCTCATAAAACCCCCTGAGGCCCAGGGAATGAACAATTTAAGTTCAGCATTAAAGAAATCTCTAAAGTGAACAAGAAATCCTGTACTTTCTAAAGCAAACTAAAATCTTCCAGTTACTTAGTTAAATCATAGCGGAGAACATAATAAAGCTAGAGGATTAAAATGGTACAGATTAATGGAATGGAATTCCTTTGACAAGAAGCAGAAACTAACTCCAGCCATTATGACTTTTATAGTGATAAAATTGATTGAAGTAATCAATCACTTGCTTATGGTTAAGAAAAAAATGTCACAATGATATATCGGCACTGTGGACCAATTATGTTTAGATTCTAAGTTGGGGAAGGAGATCATGTAAATATATTAAATAGCCAGGAACACTAATTGACTTTTCGACTTAAAGATTTAGCTACAAAATATTCACAGTGATAATAACTCCTTATTATTTGAGAGTTGGATTGGACATCACTCTAAAATTTGGAAAGTCTTCTCAGAAAGTGTTTATCTGAGGGAACTTCAAAAAGTTCATGGAAATATTCATCCCATTCTCTTTTAATTCCATTTTTCCAAGAAATTTCTGAGGTCCCATCATATTAATTACACATATCTGTTATTAAAGGTTTCTCTTCTCAAAGGCATTCACTAAGCCTAAGCCGAGCGGGGAAGGAAATGTCTCCGGAGATGTCAGGATTACTAGAGGAGAACAATTCACCGTTTTCTCGGAACCAAGATCTCTAAGAAAACCATCCTTCTGCACTCTGCCAGAGAAAGTGATCTCCGTCAAATTCCAAAAGAAAAATAATCTGACAAAGGTGCAGAGGGAAAGGCAATTGATATTGGAGCTAAAGGGGGAAAAAGGAAAAAGAAGAAAAGGATTTGGTGGGACATTTTCTGATGACCACGGCTAATATGGGGTGATCAAATGAGCCCTTAAATATCTAGGTCTCAAAAGACTGAAAAAACTTAGTGGTTTTTTTTTTTAAATCAATTTATTGGGGCTCATACAATTCATCACAATACATAGATCAATTGTATAAAACACATCTATACATTTGTTGCCCTCATTATTCCCAAAATTCGCTTGCCTCTTGGGTTCCCTGAATCAGCTCAATTTTCCTTTTTTTCCCCCTCCCCTTCCCTTCCTCCTCCCCTCTCCCCCATGCACCCTTAATAATTTATAAATTATTATTGTATCTTATATTAGACTGTCCAGCGTCTCCCTTCACCCACCCTTCTGCTGCCTGTCCCCCAGAGAGGAGGTTATATGTAGCTCCCTGTGATCCATTCCCCTTTCTACACCCCCTTTCCGTCCTGGTATCGCCACTGTCACCCCTGGTCCTGAGAGGTTCATCTGTCCTAGATTCCCTGCATTTCTGATTCCCATCTGTCCCGCTGTGCATCATCTGGTCTAACCAGCTCTGCAAGGCAATATTGGGGTCCTGGTAGTTGGGAGGAGGAAGTGTTTAAGAACCAGAGGAAGGTTGTGGGTTTCATTATTGCTATACTGTACCCTAAGTGACTCATCTCCCCACTACCCCTCTGGAAGTTATGTCCAATTGTCTAGAGATGGGCATTGGGTCTCCATCATGCGCCACCCTCATTGATGAGGATATGATTCCCCCTCCCCACCTTTCGTTTTCCCTGGCATAGTCTAATCAGCTAGGGTGTTCCCTACTACAATATGCATAAGGTTTATCTCATTATTTCAGAGGTAATTGTTAGAGTGATCGTTGTAAACGCAGAAAAAGCACTCTCAGGCCAGTCACATCAGAAAAATATCCTCAGAAGACTTATTTATTAATCAAACTAGTACTACTCATATTCGGAAAGGGCAATCTGAGTGGTTCTCAGAAATCCACACATCTTAAAATAGCTTCTACCCTACATTATGAAGTGCCAACTGTTAAAATCATCAACAGGTTGGTTCCCATCGTAATCCTGGAAGGCAGACTGTAATCTCTAGCAGTGAGTCACTCCGTGACTGCTAGGCCTCGGGGCCAGTGCGCAGCCAGTGTGGGAAGACTAGGAACGGAGATCTGCTTTGGGAGATGGCGTCTTTCTAGAATGGCCAGAAAAGCCAGCAAGATGCACATTATTTTACTCATACATCTTCGTAGCATTGATACGTGGGTTTTTTCATTTAACCTCGTTTTATTTGGACTAACAATCATTTTAATAATTTCTATCAACATAATACCAATAATAAACTTCTACCCATTTCATTGTCATTATTCCAATAAATCTAAAGCTATTTTTATCAAAACACCTTTCACTCTTCAAAGGCTATTTTCTTGCTTACTAGGTGGGAAGATGTTACATCTGTGTTGAAACTCAAGCTTGGAAAATAAACTATCCTTTCAATCTTACTAATATGCTCTTGACAAGGGTAATTTTTAGTAATATAACTTTTAACCCTCACCTCTGGCATAATGTCATTTTTTGACTGCAAACTAATGCTTAGGAACACTGAGACATTTGCTCCTTCCATGACCTCATGTTAGGGAATTCCTCTTCTGACTTTAATTTTTTATTTACCTGACTTTGGAAAAACTAATTCTCTCCATTAAAATGAAAATAATTGTGCTCGCTTCGGCAGCACATATACTAAAATTGGAACGATACAGAGAAGATTAGCATGGCCCCTGCTCAAGGATGAAAAATAAATAAATTAAAAGTAAAAAAAAGAAAATAATTGAGTCTCAGATTTTTGTAAAAATTATAAAATCTATATATGAAATTTCCATCTCCATAGATCATACATTCTGTATCTATCAAAGTGAATGCTCTTCATACACTTGATTAACATTTAACCATCCTCATAGTCTACTCACTGAATACCTACCTGATCATGCCAGGAGGGTCTCATTTTCAATAACTGTGACTTATTTACATTTAATTTTCTAACATTTTTCTGTTTTCGGGGTGGGGTGCTTAAATCTTACCAGCTGATTAATATTTTAATTTGTACTTGTTCTCGATCACAGAGCACAACCAGAGGAAAACACAGATTCCATATTATTCTCCATATCTTTCCAATATCAAGACTTGTATTACAGAATTGCTGAAGGTATAACACCAATATCTCAAGATGAACCTCAAATTGGTAATATACAAAACAAATCTTGTTACCTGATTCCTCAAATGTGCTGCAGTCACTCTTTTCCTCATGCTTTGTTGTTGTTAGATGTCATCGAGACGGCTCTGCCTCGTGGAGACCTTCTGTACAGCAGAGCCCAACACTGCGCGGTCCGTGTCATCCTCACAATCGCTCCT